AACATTAATAAGAGCAATCTATCGGTTTTTTTGTAGTTGTTGAAAATTGCATCCATAAATGACAACAATTATATTTAATTTATATGTTGCAGTAGGACCTTTATCTATTTCTTTATTATGTATTTTTTAATAGGTTTTCCCCAACTATTGCTTCTACATATTCAATTTTCCACATCTCTCCTAAAGTTTTGCAGAAAGTGATGAAAAATAAGTCAAAATTACTCAAGCGCATTCTGACTCTGCCTTAAAACAATTCATACCAAAAAGACAAAGCAAAATGCTTTTGTTTTAAAAAGATACACAAAATGTCTCCATTGGAATGAGAAAATAAAGCAACAGTTCTTGAAATAAGACTAAATGGCTTTGTCCCACTGGAGAATCTTGTTTTAACACAGTCAGAATGAACTGAAATAACAATCACAAAATAACGAAAGTAATTATTTCCTCCTATTTTATCATTTTTTTCACTGTATGATTATTAGGGTGAAATACGTCGCCATAATCTTCCAGACTTTACACAATGATTGCTCTTTAACATGGAATGTGTTTGTGGAGCAGGTTTAACTGTTAAACAAGTCAAATGTGTCTCATGACTCTGGGATCAAACGTCGCCTCCTGAGAGTGAACAATGTTTATGTTTAGGATTTAAAATGTGTTTCTGTGAGAAGGACGAGGGACGATATAAATGTCCATATTTGAATGAATTGAATTAAGGATATCATTAGAAGAATTAACCTTTAAAAAAACGTTGTAATGAAAGAAATTGTTATTCAGTGTGAGAAAGCACTATGTACTGCCATCTTGTGGTTACATTTATCACTGCATCTACAAACCTTTATCAAAGTCTATGGGGTTATTGTGAAAAGAAAAGATCCCACAGTTGCCTAATTAATTTCTTTCACAAAACAACAATAATAACAGCTAGGAGGAGGAGCTTACATGTTCTACCAGTGTCTGGGTAGGTTTCTTCCAGGTGTTCCAGTTTTCCATCTCTGTGTGGACTGAGAGACAAATGCCCACAGCAATTCAATCTGGAGAGACGAGGAAACAAAAATGCCTTTGAAGTATTTTATTGAGAGGTAGTTTGGCGCCCTAGGCCCCGATGCGGCGTTCAGTCAGCGAGGCTCCTGCGAGAGTGCGCACACAATCCCCCGGGACCTAGGCACTGGTGGCGGCATTTGGCAGCAGGAAGGCAGATTGAGGCAGGGTGAAGAGGAGGAGGAGGGGAGGCGGTGGTTGCAAGGCTTCGAGAAGGCCGTGAAGTGGGAGTTTCTCCGCTTTTAAGCGGCTGGCCTGACCGGCGCAGATTGATTGGAAGTGGGCGTTTGCTGTGAGATAGGCTGGGGATGCGAGGCCGGCCTGGAAGGGGTGGCTTTGGCTGACGTCTTCCAAACTGAATTTCCGCAAGGCTGCATTTGTAAAGCGCTTTGTGACTCTGGTCTGTGAAAGACGCTATGTAATTAATAAAGACTTTTTACTTAGTACTTAGCTCATATATCTTCCTGTGGGACTGCTCTCATGATTCTGAAAGTTATTCTACAGCTTAAAGAGCGACTAAACACCAAATCCACTTTTTTTAACTCATAAACTGCATAAGTATGTTTATTGTAGTGCTGTCTACATATCCTGGTCATTTTTTTGACATTTTAGTTCAAACTAGATAAAATATCACTTTTGAGCCAAAAAACGCTGTGTGGCGCCCTCTCCACCTTTTTGGTGGTACTACATTTGAATTTGGTTCTGGCCTCTCCCTTTGACTCTGAAGTTCTCTATGACATCAGTTGTTTTGTGTGACGTCAGTCTGTCAGAGCCAGTGATATAAACCCATTCAACTCTCACACACGCCCCAGCTGCAGTTTGGAGTATTCTGGCGCCATCTAGTGGATTCAAATTAAATTACATGAGTAATTCTGAGACTATTGAGTGTGATTAGGTTCAGGTGTGTAGCTTTACAATTATCTAAGTGTGTAAACAAGGGTGGAATGAGACTTTCTGGTCTGTAAACTATTGCTTTAAGCAGCAATGACAACTGTCTGTTTTTTTGTGTGTGACAAGTGAGCTGTCAATCACAGCCCAGACCACGCCCAACTCTAAGCCCCCCTTCTTGTCCCTTGGTCCTCCAGGCAACGCCCTTTTTAGAGAACATTTTCAAATCTTCATGTGGGCGGAGTCAGGCTGGGCACAGGTGTTTAGTCGCTCTTTAATGAGTCAGACCAGGGACAACACTAGAGCCTTATCTGAGCAGAAATGTGTGCGACGATGATAAATATTGAAGTCAGACCCATTCCTTCCTGCATTCGCCTAAAAGAAATTGTGTCTTTATCAAATATTAACATAACAACTTTGAATGCGTTTTTGTTTTGAACTTAGAATTAAACTGGTGGCATGTTTCTGGATAATGTAACTAAAAAACTTTGGTCCCTTTAGTACCCAAGCTTTTGTCATAAACTCCATGTGTTTGCGTATATAGAAAGATAATCCACCCATCCATCCATTTTCTTCCGCTCTATCCATTACTGGGTTGCAGAGACGTCCAGACTTCTTTATCCACGCTCACTTCTTCCAGCACATCTGGGTGAATCCTGAGGCGTTCCCAGGCCAGCTGAGAGACATATAGTCCCTCAAACGAGTTCTGGGTTTATATTATTGTGTGCTACTTTGTTGGATACTCTTGAGTGTCTCACAGAATTCCTCAGGTCAAGTACCTGGTTTTATACAGTAGATACAACTTACCACCACCAGAGGTCAGCAGAACCTTTCTTAATGCAATGCCATGTTCAAGAAGCTGAACATATATGAGGTACGTGTTATCTATAATAAAACACATGGTTCTTTAGACAGTTTTACCACACTTTAAATGAGGCATCAGCCATAGACGTCGGTAGCATCTCCTGCCAATGGACCAACCTCTTCAGAAGTGGAAGGATGCGAAACAAAACCTAGAAATAAAGAAACATACTAGTAAACATATCAGAGTTTTCTATAAAATATACTACAGAAAAAGTTCATAAAAGATTGATTTGGACATTGTCAGAGTAGAAACCTGTCTCACATTTTCAGGAAGACTGAACTGAGTCCTGATTCTAGGCACCAGAAGGAGGCCAGTCCCTGTGCTCCTCAGAGTCAGAGTTGGTTCATAATGTCACTAACATGTCACAAATGTACTTTGGTGCAAGGCCATGGAGAGACTTGTACAAACGCTTTAAAGTCTATTATCTGAGCCAGCATCAAAATTAGTGATATGGTGCTGTCTTGGTGTGTATGGATTTTTACATAAGTAGCCAAATTAAGCAATTTGGCACCATAGACAGTTGCTAGCAAAGTTTTGGCTAGCGACTGGAGCAAGCTATTTGTTTTGATTGTTATTGTATTTTTATCCCATAATTGATGGTATACAAACTAAATTATATGAGGAAAACTACACCACAATGTCATATCATAAAAACGTGAAAAATGTGATTACACTCCAGAATAAGTCAAACATTTAACAAATATATGGCGTCAAAATAAGGTCCGCTCTTGGAAACTTTCTGTCTGTTTGGCGCGCTCACGTTTGGCATGCGCGCTCCTGTCCTCGCGCCACTGCTCCAGGCGACGCGCGCGGTTTCGGTCACTTTTTGGCACGTTCTACCTTGAGCCAATCACAGCCCCACGTGGCCTCGTTGCTAAGACGTTGCTAGGAACAAAAGATTCCCTGTCCCTGTAATGAATGAAACACGGGTGAGTTTTGCGATGCTGCTTGAACTTTTACTAAAACAGTAATCTCATGCAATAACTGTTTATATATACTAATTTAAACAGTGTTTACACTATTGCTGTTTATATTTAATTACTTAATTAAAACTGATTACTATAATATTCTTGTCCTCATTAAGGTGAATTGTATTTTTACAATTTTTGTAACTTCAAAAAGATAGAGAGAAAGATTAGATAGAAGCATTGCAGCTACTTATGTTGTATATTTTGTGTGCTCCTTGTGTGTTCTTTCTGCATAAACATTTCCCCACTGTGGGACGAATATAGATTCTTATATCTTATCTTATTACAACTGAATAAGAGATGACATATTCAACACTGAAATCAGGAGTCATCTGGACACAAACAATATGATATTAGTTCATTGTCAAAGGCACAAAACAGCATCTCAAGGCGCACTGGTCTAATTTACCACTGCAAAAACAATTGTATGTCTAAAAGAAGCAGTGTATGTTTCTGGGTCTGATTTCACTAAACCATTATATGATTTATTATTATATTATATATATTAAAACCAGTTATTTTTGTTGGTAAATTAGACCAGTGTGCCTTGAGATGCTGTTTTGAACTTTTGGAAATAAACTAATATCATATTTTCTTTTGGTTAGATTAGAAAGACTTTTTGTGTTTGTTTTGTATTCTGTATAATATACTTTAAAACACTACACAGGGTGGCACGGTGGCCCAGTGAGTTTGCATGTTCCTCTGTGTCTGCGTATGAGTTTCCTCCAGGTGCTCCGATTTCCCCTACCACTAAAAACATGTACAGTAGCTCTGGCATGCACCTCCTTTATGATGACCCCGCTCCCCTCTCTGTGTGGAGCGAGAGACAAATGCCCAGAACAATTGTAAAGTGCTTTGTGACTCTAGTCTGCAAAAGGAGCAATAAAAAATAAAGTTTAAGTACCTATTTGCTTTGATGAGAGTGTATTGTATTGGCGTTTTTGTAATAGTTTCAACTTGATTACATTTGACTGCTCAAAAACGACTAATTGACGTTATCAATGAGAGCCACACGCTATTTCTTTGAGTGTGGGTTACCTCGGAGACAGGCCCACCCCCTGGTAACGCCTCGACCAATCACCTTGCAGCGTCCAGCCTCGTTCCCTCTCCTCGCCCAATCAGAGCCACGCATGCAAATCTGCGCCTGATGCATTGTTCGCGTACTTCCATGTGAACTTACCAGAGCTCTCCTTCAGTCAGACAAGCTAATAACACCATCAAGAACACCACGTTTTACATTTATGGAATTACAACTCACCAGAGAGACCGTGGACCTGCTACTCTCACCGCGCTGCGACGTTTCCACTGACGCCAACTTGGATTACATGCTCAATATGACTTTCGAGGAACTAAACGGGGAATATTCTCAAGAAAGGTGATTTTGATGGAGATAAATCCTGTCTTTTGTACAGATGCTACATGCAGATGCGGACAGAACCCCGTGTACCGTGATGTTTTTGCAGTAAGATGACTGTAAAGGCTGCTTGCTAACTTTTTAAGCAACTTTAGCAATACTTGTCCTTGTTAACATTTATGACAAAGCACTTCTTTTTTTTTTACGATTACTAATGCTATTATTGCATATTACACATCAACTACTACTACTACTAATACTACTACTAATACTACTCCTACTGCTACTACTACTACTACTGCTACTACTACTACTACTGCTGCTACTACTACTTCTACTGCTACTACTATTCCTACTACTACTACTACTACTACTCCTACTGCTACTACTACTTCTACTGCTACTACTACTCCTACTGCTAATACTACTCCTACTGCTACTACTACTACTACTGCTACTACTACTACTACTGCTGCTACTACTACTTCTACTGCTACTACTATTCCTACTACTACTACTACTACTACTCCTACTGCTACTACTACTTCTACTGCTACTACTACTCCTACTGCTACTACTACTCCTACTGCTACTGCTACTACTACTACTACTGCTGCTACTACTACTTCTACTGCTACTACTATTCCTACTACTACTACTACTACTACTCCTACTGCTACTACTACTTCTACTGCTACTACTACTCCTACTGCTACTACTACTCCTACTGCTACTACTACTTCTACTGCTACTACTACTCCTACTGCTACTACTACTACTACTACTGCTACCACTACTACCAAAGAGTATATAAGTTATCTGTACTAAGTTAGGATTAAGTTAAGGGAGTATGTAAGTTAGAAGTTATCTATATTCTACTTCTGCTACTACTGATACTACTACTACTACTATACGTGCAAACCATGAAGGAATACTGCTTCCAACTTGATTAAAAACATATACAAAAAAATGACCCAAAATGTTAATATTGAATTGAAATTTAGAGAACAAGTAGAGAGCGTTTGCATTCTACTTTGTCATAGTTTTTTTTTTTAGCAGCTTGATTTCTTATGGAAATTTGCAAACTCAGAAATAAGCACGTCTTAAAAATATATATACGGTGTCACATTTTGAGAAGCTCTTGCAATGGAAGGGAAGCTGCACATGGGGAAAAGACTAATAATGACATTAATGAACGTGTCAAGACTTTTGGCTATTGCGCTATGATTGGTTTCTGAACAGACTTGTTTGTGAATCAGTGAATGTCACTTGTGTAATTTGTTCAATGGACCCAGAAAGACTTGTCTCTCAGCGAATAGGATCCATAGAAATCAACAACTAAGATACTAATATAGCTTTAAATGTATTTATTAATGTATATTCCAAATAACTGGATCAATTAGTCAGATACATTTTGGATGCATAAAAATGTGGTTGAATTATTGGGTAAAATGTGTGATGATAAGAGCTTGAACTTGTGGAGTTTGTTCAAATATACAGATATAAATGAGTCATAACTACATTCTGTGACAGGCTCCATGTCATGTCCATTACTGGAAAGATTTCATCAGAAAACAAGACTTAAAATAGGCTGTTTTGTGTTGCCTATTTTTAAACTGCTTTTGCCTGAGTCATTGCAAATGCAGTGAGCAACAATGACATAAGAAATGAGTTGTTGAGAGTTAAACAATCAGCGCAGATTTGACTCAAGGCTACGCACAAAACGCTCATGAAGTGGACCGACGACAGAGGAACAGCTTTGTGCAACTTTGGGCAAACGCAATTTCGGTTGGACGTGAAATGGCACAGAGTCTGACTTGATATTTTGGATGTTGCAGGATGGATTCGGTGGCGAAAGCTCTGGAGGAAGTGCTCACGGCGGCGTTGCCACAGGGCTGCATCACTGTTGGCGTCTATGAAGCTGCAAAGTCGCTCAATGTGTACGTATAGAAAACAAAAGTGTTGCATAATCTTCTCTGTGTGTGTGTGTGTGTGTGTGTGTGTGTGTGTGTGTGTGTGTGTGTGTGTGTGTGTGTGTGTGTGTGTGTGTGTGTGTGTGTGTGTGTGTGTGTGTGTGTGTGTGTGTGTGTGTGTGTGTGTGTGTGTGTGTGTGTGTGTGTGTGTGACCGGTCTTTGGGCAAACACAGATTTCCCATGAACGCTGAGCAGGCGCCAAGCATAACACACAACCCGCCTGTCATTTCACTCAGTTATATAGAAGTTGACGTGTATTTTGTTATGGCAGGTAGAGATAAAAGAATGCAACGTAGGCAGAGTGGGAAGAGGAGAGAGTTTGAATGAAGTAATAGTTACCACGGCGACCGGTTTGGATTCAGAGGTCGATAAGTTCTGCTGATTCAGATTTTGTTCCCCCAAAATTAAATGATTTGAATTGACTATTAAACCATACATGTGGCCTCAGCTACGTGTGCAAGCCAGATCCTGTCAGACCTCTGAAGCTAAGCAGAGCAAGGCCTGGTTATTACTGTGATGGGAGACCAAGAAACAACTGACTTGTTGCCTCACTTCTGTCAGTGTGCCCCAGGGCAGCTGTGGCGACAGTAGTAGTTTTTCTCCACTGTGTATTGAGTGAATGAATAACAACATGTGAAGCGTCTTTGACCATTTTTATTATTTTCACATGTATGGATTGCAGTTTCTTCTTAAATCAGTAGTAAGAGTGAAGATTTGGTAACTTTAGAAATGTTACTGTTCTGTAGGCTGCACACAAGTTCTTTGGCTGGGAATTAGCAGAAATGTGACGATTCGATAGTTTTGCAATATTTGGGCCACAATTCAATATTATTAATAAACAGAATTAATTAAATATCACAATTTTCTCTACTGTATGTATTTATTTGCGTGCGATACTGAACATAATCGATTTCTTCCCCCACCACTAAAGCACATATCCACATACACTTACTAACAATAGAAATGTGTATTGAACCGTGCAATACCCTTGACATTTGCTCTGCGGGCTTCTTCCCTCCAGAGACCCAGACAACGTGGTCCTGTGCATCCTGGCCACGGACGGGGAGGACGTGAAGGACGTGGCTCTGCAGATCCACTTCACTCTGATCCAGGCCTTCTGCTGCGAGAACCACATCAACATCCTGCGAGTGAACAACACGCGGCGTCTGGCCCAGATCCTGTGCGGAGCAGGGGGAGGCGGGGGAGGAGGAGGGGAGAGGAGGCCCGGGGGAGGCGAGCCCATGGACCCACACTGCGTCCTGGTCACGGTGAGAGCACGGGTTTATTTATCAGGGGTTGCCTACGCTCAACTGTTCATCCTTATAAAGAGTAATAAACAAAAGTTACATACACAGACAAACAAGACTAAGCACATACGGTGGCTGAGTGGATAGCACTCTCGCCTCTCAGCAAGAAGGTCCTGGGTTCGAATCCCGGTTGGACCAGGGCCTTTCTGAGTGGAGTTTGCATGTTCTCCCCGTGTCTGCGTAGGTTTCCTCCGGGTGCTCCGGTTTCCCCTACCACTAAAAATATGTACAATAGGTCTGGCATGTGCCTCCTGTACCGGCACCCCCACTCCCAAAAATAACAATTGTAAACCGCTTTGAGACTCCAATGTGCAGTGAAAAGGCGGTATATATAAATAAAGATTACTTACTACTACTACATACAGATAGTGAGACAGTCACTCATCTCCACCGTGCTGGTCTCAAACCCTTGTCCCGGCTCACTCCTCCAGTAACTTTGGAAACCGTTACTACCTTGACGTTATTGAAAGCTAATAGTAGCAAAAGCATGCTGTCTTCAAGGAGCTATACCCGTTTCTGCAGGTTTTTTTGAATGTCACAGGCTTCTCGTTTCCCGAGTTTTATTTGCGATCTGATCTATATGCTAACATTAGCATGAGCACAACTTCTCGTAAGCTGTACAACAATCACTGATGAAGTGGTACAAAAGCAACGCACTGCTAACAAAATAAATAACTGAAAGATTACAGCTAGTTTTGCGTCCGAATGTAGTCCGAGCGCAGATAGTCCGAGGCTGGCCCGCAGGTCTGTCCCATAGACAAGTCTCTCTAAAAAGTACAGTTTTCAAAGGAATACATCGGATTTTCCCACGATGTTGTTATGTGTTTGTCGGGGACGTGTTTGTGCCTGAAGTTTCCTGATAATTGCTCGGATGGAGATTAAAATAACTCTTGGGGGGATAATGCTGTATCCAGGTTAAAAGTCAGTGTTGTACAATGTGTACTTTGGAAAACTGTCCATTATCTGTGCAGAGTTTCAGTGACACACACAGACACACACAAACACATACACACACGCACGCACGCACGCACACACACACACAGACACACGCACGCACTCACACACACACACACACACACACACACACACACACACAGACACACGCACACACACACACACACACACAGACACACGCACGCACGCACACACACACACACACACACACACACACACACACACACACACACACACACAGACACACACACGCACGCACGCACACACACACACAGACGCACGCACACACACACACAGACACACACACGCACGCACGCACACACACACACACACATACACACACACACACACACACACCACACACACACACACCCACACACAGACGCCCACACACACACAGACACACACACACCCACACACAGACACACAGACACACACACACACACCCACACACAGACACACACACAGACGCCCACACACACACAGACACACACACACACACACACACACACACAGACACACACACACACACCCACACACAGACACACACACAGACACACACACACACAGACACACACACACACACACACACACACACACACACACACACACACACACACACACACACACACACACACCCACACACACACACACACACACACACACACACACACACACACACACACACACACACACACACACCCACACACACACACACACACACACACACACACACACACACACACACACACACACACACACACACACACACACACACACACACACACACACACAGACACACACACACACACACACACACACACACAGACACACACACACCCACACACACACACACACACACACACAGACGCCCACACACACACACACACACACACACACACACACACACACACACACACACACACACACCCACACACACACAGACACACACACACAGACGCCCACACACACACACACACACACACACACACAGACACACACACAGACACACACACACACACACATATCCTCTGAATGCTCTCTAGTAATAATGAATGAAGCCCTATTGGAAAATGCTCCATGTTTCAGTTGAAGGTGATTCCTGGGAACAGCCGTTGCAGCTTAAGCTCGTGACTGAAACTCATTTTGTCTGTGAACTTGTCGGGACATGCCCCACTCCTCGCTCCTCGCTCCTCGCTCCTCGCTCCTCGCTCCACGCTCCCCGCCCCTTTAAGACCTGAATGGAACTTGCACGCAGGGAAATATCTACGCCACAGGATATGAAGAAACTCCGGCTTTTAGACTCTGGAGGAAGCTTTCTCAGTTCCTCATACTTTTACATTTCTAGTTCCGATCTATACCCAAGGCCTTATTCTTTAGTTCCTAATACACTGGGAACACATGGTCGAACTAAAGAATATGGCCTTAGACTTTGGAGATATTTTAGCTCCTGCTCTGGTGCGATAACACGTTCATTATTTCTGCAGAAATGTCAAGCATTTCTCAAATTTGGCAAAATGTCTCTTCATTTGAGCACAACTTGACTTAGCGTTAAAACAAAATTGGCCCATGAGACAAAGCAAAATGATCTTGTTCCTAAAAGATAAAACAAATGTGTCCCTTGGAATGTCAAAATAAAGCATCAGTTCTTGAAATAGACTAAATGGCTTTGTCCCAATTGGAGAATCTTGTTTTAACACAGTCAGAATGGGGCAAATTAGGATAGCATTAGCATTTATTACCTCATATTTTATAATTTTTTGCAGTGTGGTGCTAGAACTTGGGCTACCTAACTTATTTTATTAATATTAATAACAGAAAGAGACTGTTAAAAATAGAATATTAACAAAGTACTTCAAATTCTTATTGCACAGATGAGTATAGTAACGTGTGGTTTCATTTTGCGCATTCTGACATTTATCTAAAAAATCTATAATTCAATTTTTGCACACAGACCAGTTTCTAAATGTGTTCTCTCTCTTCGTCTCGTCCCAGAGTCCGCCTTCGAACTCGTGGAAGGACCCGGCTCTGAGCAAAGTCAACCGCTTCTGCCGAGAGAGCCGCTGCATGGATCAGTGGGTTCCCATCATCAACCTGCCCGACCGGTGAAACTCCGCCCCCGGACACCTCCGCTGGACCTGTACCACACCTCCGCCAGTGCTGTGACACGACCGCTCACCGCTGCCGGGAGGAGGAGCCACAAAACAAACAAAAAAACTAGTCAAAAAAAACACAAAAACAACTTGAATGGATTTTTTTCACTAGTTCGGAGGGATTGCTAGCTTGCGCGGTGACGCCGGCGGGAGCTAGCGAGCCGAGTGTGCCTTTTTTTTTTGAGAACGGGATGATTCGGACGCAGCTCGGATCATGAGTTGGTTGGTTGGTTGCCGGGGAGAAAACACACACAAAAAGAGAAAGACACACAAACGCAAGGGCGGCGTCTGTGGCGACAAAAAGCACTTGTGGAAAAACACTGGACTCTTATCGTTTTGATTGTTTGTGTTTTTATTGTTGTAACTTCAAAAGGGAAGCATCCAGTGAAGACATTCTGTGTTTTTTCCCTATATTATTATTATTATTATTATTACTATTATTATTATTATTATTATAGTTCTTTTGTTACCATTTAAGTTATTTCTAATGATATTTAAGTATATTTATGTTGCATTTTTTTTTACCTTTTAACTACTTGAGAAATCTGAATTCAGACACAATAAGTTGCTGTCAATAAATATGTATTTTTGGATCAGAAATGTCTGTTTGGAGTCTTCTCTCAGCATCAACAATCATTATTTTTAGTATTATTATGTTTATTCGTTCCACTCAGACTGTAAATATTCACGGACGTAGTCAAACCTATCTGCGCCGTTCTAACTAATGGGCCACAACTTCCACGGTCTATGGGCAGTTTCAAAATGGCCGCGGGGGCTGGAAACTCAGATGCGTCAGCCGGCCAGAGCTCCATTCATTTAAACGAGTGACTTCAAAAGTCCACAGCGACTAAACTAGACTGGTCCAGAACACCCCCCTCAGCATTGACACACATGTGGAACGGAGCTTTGGGCTAAGAGACGACTTTTGGACCATCCTGTAAAGACGCTTTTGAGAGGTCAGCTAATGCTATATGTTAGCATTGGCTAATTCTTCTTCTGGGTCCACCCCCACAGGCCTGGGGTGGTATTGCAGCATGTCAGCGCACGTCATTTTGGCCACTTTTGAGCCGGGACCCTCCCCCACTGGTCTCATCGTGGGGAAATGTCAGTGTTGCATCATCGGTTACAGAACAGAGGAGAATGAGGAGCACACAGCAGAAGAGAAATGAACAATCGCTTTATACTAAATAAAGTAGAATCTATAACTTAAGCATAGAAAAGAAGCAAGTATAAAATCTCCAACTTTAGTATGATGAAGCAAATCTAAAACCAGCAGAGTTTTTTTAGGCTCAGTAGACCAGCTTCTTCTACTTGCCTTACTTAAAAAAAAATTAAAATGCTATTATTAACAAATGATTATGGTAACAAATGTATAAATACAAATTAAACGGACACCTCTTAGCTTTTAGGGATTTTATATTAACATGTAAGATCCCATTTCTAGTTCACAGCCAACGCGCTTCAACAAGTTTAAATGTTCAATAAGATTCATAAATAAGAAAATAACTTCTTACTCGGAGTTGTACCCAAACTCTGCCCGTCTCCACGGCAACACATGTCGGCCATTAAATCTTCACGCCTCCCAAAAAGAGTTGCAAATTTAACAGGGAATTCCAAATATGGACTTTTTCCGTGGGGAATTAACAGGATTTTTTTTTCCAAATTGCATTATGACTCTTTATAGGAACTTGAAATATTTGAATAAAGAATATTTTAGCGTGATTTTGAGTCCATCACATCAAAGGTTTCTAAAAGACTGGACCAGACTTTTGAGGCCAAAGCACAAAACTGTTTAGTTCACAGATTTAAATACGTGCCTTTTATTAAGTTTATATTATGATATTATGGGGAACTTCAATAAATCTGTTGAAATATCTGATCGGAATCCGTTAATAAATAGTAATTATCAGATATGACACAGTTTAATAATAATACATTTCATTTCCAGTTATGACATATTCCCCAGGTTAACTTCCTGTGGACATTTACCCAAAACTTTCCACCCAGTTGCAATTCTAGTCCCAAATATTATCCCGATGTTGCAGCCATTAGAATAGTCTTAACTTGTACCTGTGAGCTAAAAACCTGTCCCTGTGTGCTCTCAAAGCTGTGACCTTTCTCTTTCAAACACACATGGGGCTTTATTGAAGTGTTGAAAAGGTGGTTCACGTGTGTCAGGTCAGGTCACGCTGCCCCCGGTGGCCTCTGTGCCACCTCACAACAATGACCCCTCCACCCCCCGCCCCCAGTGACCCCCCTAACCCCCCCAAGCCCCCTCCTGCTGGGATTCTGCTGCGCTCAGCGGTTCTGCTCAGCTCAAAACCACAGAGGAAAAAACTGATCCAGGACTGAGGCTGTGGATCCAGGATTGAGGCTGTAGACCCAGGACTGAGGCTGTAGATCCAGGACTGAGGCTGTAGATCCAGGACTGAGGCTGTAGATCCAGGACTGAGGCTGTAGACCCAGGACTGAGGCTGTAGACCCATGACTGAGGCTGTAGATCCAGGACTGAGGCTGTAGACCCAGGACTGAGGCTGTAGATCCAGGACTGAGGCTGTAGATCCAGGACTGAGGCTGTAGATCCAGGACTGAGGCTGTAGACCCAGGACTGAGGCTGTAGACCCAGGACTGAGGCTGTAGATCCAGGACTGAGGTTGTAGATCCAGGACTGAGGCTGTAGATCCAGGACTGAGGCTGTAGATCCAGGACTGAGGCTGTAGATCCAGGACTGAGGCTGTAGATCCAGGACTGAGGCTGTAGACCCAGGACTGAGGCTGTAGACCCAGGACTGAGGCTGTAGACCCAGGACCGAGGCTGTAGACCCAGGACCGAGGCTGTAGATCCAGGACCGAGGCTGTAGATCCAGGACTGAGGCTGTAGACCCAGGACTGAGGCTGTAGACCCAGGACTGAGGCTGTAGACCCAGGACTGAGGCTGTAGATCCAGGACTGAGGCTGTAGATCCAGGACTGAGGCTGTAGACCCAGGACTGAGGCTGTAGATCCAGGACTGAGGCTGTAGATCCAGGACTGAGGCTGTAGATCCAGGACTGAGGCTGTAGACCCAGGACTGAGGCTGTAGATCCAGGACTGAGGGTGTGGACCCAGGACTGAGGCTGTAGATCCAGGACTGAAGCTGTAGATCCAGGACTGAAGCTGTAGACCCAGGACTGAGGCTGTAGACCCAGGACTGAGGCTGTAGACCCAGGACTGAGGCTGTAGACCCAGGACTGAGGCTGTAGACCCAGGACCGAGGCTGTAGACCCAGGACCGAGGCTGTAGATCCAGGACCGAGGCTGTAGATCCAGGACTGAGGCTGTAGACCCAGGACTGAGGCTGTAGACCCAGGACTGAGGCTGTAGACCCAGGACCGAGGCTGTAGACCCAGGACCGAGGCTGTAGATCCAGGACTGAGGCTGTAGACCCAGGACCGAGGCTGTAGACCCAGGACCGAGGCTGTAGATCCAGGACTGAGGCTGTAGACCCAGGACTGAGGCTGTAGATCCAGGACTGAGGCTGTAGACCCAGGACCGAGGCTGTAGATCCAGGACTGAGGCTGTAGACCCAGGACTGAGGCTGTAGACCCAGGATTGAGGCTGTAGATCCAGGACTGAGGCTGTAGACCCAGGACCGAGGCTGTAGATCCAGGACTGAGGCTGTAGACCCAGGACTGAGGCTGTAGACCCAGGACTGAGGCTGTAGACCCAGGACTGAGGCTGTAGACCCAGGACTGAGGCTGTAGAGTACAAATTAAGACACATTTTTCCAAATTTGAGCCAGTTTTTGACTTGTTTTTCTTCACTTTTTGCAGAATAACTCCTCGCACTGAGACAGAGTTTGTATGTACTTTTTTGTTATTGTCTGGAATCAAACCATCCTCTGCAAACATATCACAGTAATAAATGTGCATGTATTTGTGTATAATTAGTTCACAGGTCTTTGTAACACACACACACACACACGCACACACACACACACACACAGAGCTCAACAGTTACTGTACATCAGGACAATGGCAAAGGAAGAAGTGCATCGTCATTGCTCTTTTGCTCTTGAGACGAATCACATGACACTTGAACGTGTGTGTGTGTGTGTGTGTGTGTGTGTGTGTGTGTGTGTGGTTACGCAGAATCACATGACACTTTATACTGCAACACGCTGAAAGACCAACAACCTTGAACTAGTGTCATGTAATGCGGTGGTTTCCCTTCCAACAGGGCCACACACACACACACACACACACACTCACATACACTCACATACACTCACATACACACACACACACACACATACATACACACATACACACATACACTCACGCATACACTCACACACACACACACACACACACACACACACACACACACACACACACACACACACACACACACGCACATACACTCACATACACTCACATACACTCACATACACTCACATACACTCACATACACTCACATACACTCACATACATACATACATACACACATACACTCACACATACACGTTTTTGTTACCTGGTGGGTCCCTTTGACAGGGCCGTTCAGAATGGGACCCATAGACATAATCTTTTTTTACCAAGACTTTAAGTAATACAAAACAGTCAATAGAAACCAAACAACTATTTTAAAGGAATTTTATTTTAGATTTTGTTTTCGAATTGCAGTGATTCTATTTTTGACATAGAATTTAATGCCACTCCATGTCCGATGTCTAAGGTCATCTGGTGAGGCATTAATGCAGGCCAGGCAGTGAGACTTCCCAGGGACCTTTCCAGTCTGTATGAAAGGTGTCATGGTCTTCTCCACAGCCTTCACCTCAGAGGCAGACCATGGCTTTCTTACACGTTCTAGGGAGAGAAATAAAAATATATTAGCAATATACACTCCCAGGGTGAGGACCAAGCAGCCTGGCTGTAATCCCCCACCTGGTACACTTACCAGAAGGGGCACTGCCACTACCATGGGGTGCATCTGGATGAATGGTTGAAGGTTCTCCGCTTGAAGTTTCTTTTAGCCCGTCCGTTTGTGAGAGGATCTCTACTGCTCTCCCTGTCGCACAGAAAATAAAAATACAAGTGGCCTTTAGGGGAAAAAAATCATACATATTTTAATAATATCAAGAATTACCTTCAGGCTCAATTTGTATCTGGTCGAGGCTCTTTCCTTCGAATTCCGTCACTCTTCCCTGCTCCATGGCCATCAACACTTTGCTGATTTTGGCCAGCTCCAGTGTCCCCTCTGGTAGTCTGTAATATTGCCTGTGGATGCGAATGTCATGGCCGAGGAAGTTGGCAAGTATGTCCATCTCATTCTCTTTCATATTGAGAACTGTAGACATAGTAGCTATGTGCTTTCTAAGTTTGGTTGAGGATAGCATCTCTGGATGCACCGCACCACATTCTTTGGCTACCTGGCGTAGGGAGTCTGATCCCCTGATGTGGGTGTCTGCGCCCGGGCGGGAAAAGAAGTATGGGTTATGGTCAGAGATGGAACAGGCCCTTCTGTTCTCCACCAGCACCTCCATCGAAGCAATCATTTCAGGAGTCAAAAGAACCGGCACTTTCCGACTTCTTTTCCCTTTAATTTCAATGCGTTGAAAATGCTGACACAGCTTTTTCTCAAGTTGGGACAGTCCCAGAGCAATGTCAGAATGGATCCCAGTCTTACTTCTTAAGGTAAAGGCTGTCAGTGGCATCTTTGAAACCTCACCTTCCCTTCTTCGATTGAAAATGATGACCTCACAAAGAGTCAAAACTGCCAGTTTAGACCAATGCTTAGACGTTGGCTCACTTATTAGGGTTTGCACATATTCAGGTCGACATACCTCAATATGTGCATGCATGGCTCTAACGTCCTCAGTCAGAGGGAGCAGGTCCGGAGTGTTCCACTTGGCTTGCCGGAGGGTCTGTAGGGCAGCAGAAGAAACACAGACGTCCCACCTCTTCTCAAAAAGCAGCCGGCTTCGTTGGAGGTTTTTAATAAATAGTTCATCAACACAATGCTCCATTTTTGAGTCACATTCAAGAATATCTGCTAGCTTTCTGAGGCTATGGCCGAGTTTGAGGGCCAAGGATGGAGTCTTGTATTGATTTGTTTCCTCATATCCAGCCACAGACCTGACTGCATCAATCACATGGTTAAAGTTGGAAGGAATAAAGAAATCCTTAATTGTTTTCAGTTTCCCTGCGGTTTTTGCTTCGTTAATTAACCTACCGACTTCTCTCATTTTCTGCCTAATGTAATCATGCTTAGTCTTATCATGCCCGTGTTTTAAGTACAGGTGCTCTCCGAGTCTCAGAATCCCCTTTTCTGCTTTGACAACACCCGTGACCTCATCCTGATGCATTGCCGAAATTAAAGACCACAGCTTTTTGCTGATGCCCTCCGGTACAGGCTGGGCTAGGGAGCAGAGGGACTGGACCCTACTTCTACCTGGTTTAGCCTGGGCATCTTTCTGTGAAAGCCGGCACCTGGCCACATGCCTCCACAGCGACTTTCGCTTAAGCAATGCCCCACAGTCTATACAGTGCAAAAACTCACTGGATTTAACTGGGGAATTTGGCTGTTTAGCTGGGACTAAAGTTCCAATGCCGGCCTTTAAAACCTCAAAATTGTGCTCACGGTTTCCACTATTCCTGATCAAATCAAACTGAAGTTTACGTGCTTTAGATTTCACAGGTAGAGCCAATGCTCTGGCTACGTCACTTTCATTTCCATGTTTTCTAGTCAAATGACGGGACATTTTGTGGCAGGACATTGAACAGTAGAGGCAGAAGTGTCTCTTGCTGTATACTCGCCCCCCATTTTTCTTCTTTTGCAGCTGCATGATAACAATCTTATTTGCCTTTGGTTCGTCACTTTCCGAGTCTTGAAGAAAAGTGTTTTTGATTTTTCTTTTTCCATACTTTTTTACAGGTTTCTTCTTGACAGTTAAATCGTCAGAATCTGAGTCGACTTCATCAATTAGGGACTCTTGACTAAGCTGCACAAACAACAAATAATTTGTAATCATTCTATATAACAATTTGAAGTCATGACTTGTAGTCAGCACTTACCAGTGGTTTGTAAGCGTGCGCTTCAGTGTGCTCCTCCATGATTTCTTGCAGCCTAATGAACCACACACTTGCACCTTTTTCTAGCCTGACACCTGATTTCCTCTGTTGTGCTGCTCCATGATTGGCTCCAGCCTGCTGGACTGAAATTGCCCCAGTGTGCCCCTCCTTGATATCCCGCAACCCACCACCAGGGTTCCGACACATAACACACTTTTTTCAGGAAAGTAAACCTCCAGGGGTCCTTTCCATATTTTTACAGAGACTGCATAAGGACTGTTAGAAAAGCATTACCCATTGATT